GATCTCCCTCATCACAGCGTCACGTTAAACACGGGGTGTGACACAGGCTGTGTGTCATGTTACGATCCTCCGGCCCATTTTAACATTCATCACCTATATGAGAGTTAAAAATGCCTCCCGAAGGGCGAGTTTATTGGGCAGCACCATTCATATGAGTGATACACGCAGGTATTGCCCCTCAGATGCATCTGATTGGAACAAAAGATAATTTTATTTATTTTCAGAAGCAAACCAGGAATTATGTTATGGGGAATATGTATGTCTAAGGCATTGTTGTTCTGCAGCCAGAACATTCGGGAACATGGCGATAAGGGACAAACAAAAGCAAGCAGGGTGATGATGTCACCGGTAGCCAATGAGGGGAGATTGGGCTGTGACGTGGAGCTCTGTGATTGGCCTGGGGCTCCCTCAGGTGGCGGGCAGGAAGAAGGAGTCGCCGTGTGTCAGGTCTCCGTCAGTCTCCGTCAACATCTCTAGGAGCCGACGCTGTCTCTCCGCACTCCCCGGGGGCTACGTGCGGGTTAATGAGCAAGTTTGGTGGACGTCCAGCCGGGAGAAGCCAATTTGGATCCTCATTTGATCGGTGCTTCTAGGAATGAAGTGTTCCTACATGGACACCTGTACTTTGAAGCCCACACTTGGAGTCTGAGTGGCGTTTGGCGAAGAGAGCCGGGCGTGTGTTTCTGAGTACAACCCAACAGAAGTGAAGACAGACCCCCCTTGTAGCAGACGACGTCGCCCACCGCTCGAGTTAAGGGTTTTCCTATATTATTTAGCTCAATGACTATGAAGGACAGTGCTAAGTAACGTTCAGTGATATTTATTAGTTTCATTGAGATAACCTGTGTAGTGATTGTCAGTGGAAGCATGTTATGACCCCACGTACGTCATGTAGGGGCCTCGTAGCCTGGTGGATAGCGCGCAGGACTCGTAATTCTGTGGCGCGGGTTCGATTCCCGCACGAGGCAGAAACAAATGGGCAAAAGTTTCTTTCACCCTGAATGCCCCTGTTACCTAGCAGTAAATAGGTACCTGGGAGTTAGTCAGCTGTCACGGGCTGCTTCCTGGGGGTGGAGGCCTGGTCGAGGACCGGGCCGCGGGGACACTAAAGCCCCGAAATCATCTCAAGATAACCTCAAGAATGTAAATATTGGTGGTAGTGTATGTGGAGGTCAGAAGCTCAGTGACTATATTTTCGTAAGCTAACTCTTATAAACACATTATTGTTCAGAATAACAGATGCTTAGGTTCATACATATATATATATTGAAGGTATATTTATACTGTATATAAGTCATAAGAACCGGTGATCGCGTAACTGCTGGAACTCCTCCATTATGAAGGCGACGAGTCACAATAACGTGGCTGAAGAATGTTGACCAGACCACACACTAGAAGGTGAAGAGACGACGACGTTTCGGTCCGTCCCTTTTCGACTTGAGAATGGTCCAGGACGGACCGAAACGTCGTCGTCCCTTTTCGACTTGAGAATGGTCCAGGACGGACCGAAACGTCGTCGTCTCTTTTCGACTTGAGAATGGTTCAGGACGGACCGAAACGTCGTCGTCCCTTTTCGACTTGAGAATGGTCCAGGACGGACCGAAACGTCGTCGTCCCTTTTCTACTTGAGAATGGTCCAGGACGGACCGAAACGTCGTCGACCCTTTTCGACTTGAGAATGGTCCAGGACGGACCGAAACGTCGTCGTCCCTTCACCTTCTAATGTGTGGTCTGGTCAACCTCCTCCATTATATCCCCTTTCCTCCCTTGACCCTTGGTGAACGCCTCCAGCAGGTATACCAATTGTATAGAAAAATAACTTCTTCATCTTTTATCATATATCAACGTATATTATTAAATACCTTGCAGTTCTGTATATATTATATTGTATTATATATATGTATGGACGTGTTGTAAATATGCCTATGTATTAGCCGTTACTGATATAATACCTGATCCAATATTTAGTTATCAGTAGGTCAGATGATAGGTGATTGTGGGTAATATGTGTTACTGAGTATTGTTATAATGTTACTTTGTTACTGAGTATTGTTATAATGTTACTGTGTAACTGATTCCTTTGTCCACCTTTGTATGTCACCCTCCCCAACTGTTACGTAGGATAGTGTACCACTGCGCCAAGTTGGAGACTGGTGTCAGCTATGCCTATGTATTAGCCGTTACTGATATGATAGTAACTCAATATTGATTTGTTACCGAGTTGTTAATTGATGTGTAGGATAACAGATTTGATACTTGACCGAGTTTGACACTTAATGGATAGATGATTTGCTAGTTGAGTTGACAGTTGAGTGATCACTGTTGTATGGGACTATTAGTTGAGACCATGTATTGAAGCTCTCTTCTTTCTGATGAAAGTATCAGCTTCAGTGTACATCAGTTTATATATATATATATATATATATATATATATATATATATATATATATATATATATATATAATATAATATATAATAATAATACTAGCTGTACCCGGCCACGCGTTGCTATGGCTCGGCAACGCAGCCACAGCAACCTTCCCCTGTCTTCCAGTCCTTCCTTCTATTGCCCTCTCCCCCGTCCCCTCATCCTTCCAATCATTTCCCACTCCACCGTCCCCTCGTCTTCCCTAGAATCTCCCACTCCCCTGTCCCCCTCGTCCTCCCCACCATTCCCCACTCCCTCGTCCGATGTATTCCCAAATGATCTAATGTTCCCATCAGAAAATTAGGAACATCAAATGATCTGATGTTCCCATCACTTAAATATAAGAAAAACAGTTTAAAAACCAAATGAAAATCAATGAAAAAAAAAACTATACTCACGAGATGAACGGTATGGTAAACAACACGACTCAATTCCAATGCAATGCCATACAAAATAAATAAATCAAACTGAAAAGAAATCGAAATCTATGAAAATTCAATTTATCAATGCAATCGGAAACATTGAAATGGAATCATAACATATGTAGTATAGCGTGTTGCTAATATGTGCAACAAACAGATGGCGCTGTTTAAAAAAAAAAACGTGGTTTTACCTGTCACAGGTGTGGCATCTATATAGCTGGTATATAAAAATATGCACGAATTCGAATGGAACGTTGTGTTAAAATTTCAAAGCAATCAGTAAAGAACTTTCGGAGATTACATCGTTTCTTGCTCTTACGTCCAACAGATGGCGCTGTTTAAAAAAAAATGTTTTTTCGTGTCACAGGTGAGGCATGTATATTGTAGGTATATAAAAACACTCGATTATTCGAATGCAACGTTGTGTCAAAATGTCAAAAAAATCGGTAAAGTTGTTTCGAAGATTTCCCTACCATGAAAAACACATGGAAAAACACAGTTTAAGAAAAAACATGTTTTTTTCTCGTCACAGACGTGATATCTATATAGTATGTATATAAAAACCTGCCCGGATGCGAATGGAACGTCGTGTGGAAATTTCCAAGCAATCGGTGGAGAACTTTCGGAGATTAGCGATTTTGAACAAACGAACATTTCCATTTTTATTTATATAGATATAAGATATATATAAAGTAATTTTTTTAAATTTAGGAAGATATTATCTCGTTGTTGGTGACTTCATCGTCGTGTGTTCCTATCTGGGAGACTTTATCATTGGATAAAGCCAATCATTTATTTTCTATTTTACAATATAGGAGTTTGTCTTATCTGAATGGATCTGGAAGTACAGCTAGAGTGATACAACACCCTGACTGTTTCCCAAGATGGGGAGTACACATTGAGAAGGGCAGAAGTTGAGTACACATTGAGAAGGGCAGAAGTTGAGTACACATTGAGAAGGGCAGAAGTTGAGTACACATTGAGAAGGGCAGAAGGAATACTACACCATCAGTGTTGACGAACGTGACTCATAGTAGGTGGAGGACAGGTGTGTGTGTGTACCTCTACATGTGTGTGTGTGTGTGTGTTTATCTCTACAGGTGTGTGTGTGTGTGTGTGTTTACCTCTACAGGTGTGTGTGTGTGTGTGTTTACCTCTACAGGTGTCATGGAATTCTCTCACAAGGGACTGAGACCAATCCCGGTGACGCCTCAGAGGCTATACTGGCACTGAAGGAGTGCCGGTAGGAACAGAGTATAGTGTATTCAAAGATTTTTTCTATTTTGTCTTCACTGTTGAGGAAGGAAGACCCCCACACTCAGCACTGTGTCACCGTAGCGTCCAGTGTGAGGCGTGACGCAGGGTCTTCTTCAGCACTGTGTCACCTTTGCGTCAAGTGTGAGGCGTGACGCGGGGACTTCCTCAGCACTGTGTCACCGTAGCGTCAAGTGTGAGGCGTGACACGGGGACATCCTCGTGACTGTGTCACCGTCACGGGCCTGGTAGCACTCCCCGGGTCCACGGCCCTTCACCATTCCAGATCACCTGAGCGCCTCACTATTCACGACGCCTGTATAATGGCCATGACAGACGCAGGAGAAATCTAAGTTCAAGAAGAACCAATGAATACCAGATTACCTTATTCCAAGAGGGTGTCACTCGCCGTGTTGAGCACTCACAGTACCTGGCCTGGTGGCTAGAGTAACCGTCGAGTGTCACTCATATTGGAGTACATCCCAAGCACTGGGGATGTACACAGTATAGAGCACAATATTGGGATGTACACAGTACAGAACACAACACTGGTGATGTACTCAGTACAGAACACAATACTGAGGGATGTACTCAGTACAGAACACAATACTGAGGGATGTACTCAGTACAGAATACATGATACAGTAGACAGTTTAGGAAACGGGGGGCGCCAACCCGTCTTCAAAAATATTATTGGAACACGAGCCGCCTCGCTGGATAATTTCTATTTACTTACAAGTATATCAGTCTGTGTTATAAACAATGGAGACATTAGCCATAAACCCAGCCAGCAGTAATGGAGATACTCATTATGAAGGAGCGTGTGTATAGGAGGATGAGACAAACTGTTAAGCGGTGCAAGGTGTTGGAGAAGCCAGTTGTGGTCGAGCCGTCAGCGAGGGAGGTAGCGCCGCGCTTTTCTCTACTCGCGCTCACACGCGTCGCATAACTACACGCGCTTTGTCGTATTATTCCATCAGTTGATTCCTGTGAATGATCGAAGATTGCTAGCGAGTGATTAGATAATGTTGGCGAGTGTTTTGTTAGTAGGATATTAAAGGTTGGTGAGTTATAGTGTAGAGGAATGATGGTAGTGTGGCAGAGGGGTGTTGCTGCCGCCAGGACCTGAGACCGGCGGTGACGGTTCTTCATGACACCCGCCTCGCCTCGCTGGCTCCCACGCCCTCCTGCCGGGGCTCGCTAGTGCTGGGTGAAGGTATCTGCAGCGCCTGCAGCAGTGTGTGAGGGTGTTGGGCCCCGGGGTCAGCCATGGCGCCCTGTCGCCTCTTGCCGCGCCTCACGGTGTTGCTGGCCGTCTCTCTTCTTCAAGGTTAGTTCGAAAATTCTTTTTGTAAATATGTAAATATCTTGGTTACTTTACCTCTGTTAAGGGCACTGTTCACCGCCCACCACCGGTGTACATGTACACCTCGCTCAGTCGAGGGAACTAGTAGGGGGGGGGGAGAGTACAGTACATGTACACCTCACCCAGTTAGCAGCGGCTACAAGAAGTTCAAGACATCTGCGGAATGAAAACAAATTAAGACTAATTGCTCATATTCTGTGAATATGTAATCATTCCGTGTGTGTGTGTGTGTGTGTGCGTGTGCGTGTGCGTGTGCGCGTGCGCGTGCGCGCGCGCGCGCGCGTTTACTTGTGGGCTTGTGCTGGTCAGGCACTGTGTCAAGTCCACTTATATCAGACCAATCCTGGAGTATGCAGCTCCAGCCTGGAGTCCAGACCTAGTTAAACACAAGACAAAGTTAGAGAAGATTCAGAGATATGCCATCAGACTAGTGCCGAAACCGAGAGGAATGAGCTACGAGGAAAGGCTGCGGGACCTGAACTTCACGTCCCTGGAAGACAGAAGAGTAAGGGGAGACATGATAACCACCTACAAAATTCTCAGGGGAATTGACAAGGTGGACAAAGACAAACTCTTTAGCACGGGTGGAACATGAACAAGAGAAGGGAGGGAATTATTAGGGGGAAAGCGCAAAGACATTACGATCATACAGCACTTGGAAGGGGTCAGGATAAGGAGTTTTGATGGGACGGGGGGGGGGGGGAGGAATGGTGCACAACAACTTGGACGGTCGGGGATTGAACGCCGACCTGCATGAAGCGAGACATTAGGCAGTGATGTGGTGGAGGCTGACTCCATACACAGTTTTAAATGTAGATATGATAGAGTCCAGTAGGCTTAGGAACCTGTACACCAGTTGATTGACAGTTCAGAGGCGGGACCAAAGAGCCAGAGCTCAACCTCCCCGCAACTAGGTAGGAACGTGGACTGGTCAGGCACCGTAACAAGACCACGGTGACTGGTCAGGCACTGTAACAAGACCACGGTGACTGGTCAGGCACCGTAACAAGACCACGGTGACTGGTCAGGCACCGTAACAAGACCACGGTGACTGGTCAGGCACCGTAACAAGACCACGGTGACTGGTCAGGCACCGTAACAAGACCACGGTGACTGGTCAGGCACTGTAACAAGACCACGGTGACTGGTCAGGCACCGTAACAAGACCACGGTGACTGGTCAGGCACCGTAACAAGAGATACGATCACCGTATCATTAAGTACCTTCCTCAGCTCCAAAGTGTCATTTTCCCACTATCTTGTACATTCTAGAAGGTCCAGTGTACATCTTATTTTTTTACGGGAAGGCTGTGAATTGCAGGATTTTTTAGCAATTCAAGTTCTTAGTGTCTAGGAGGGGAGACGCCTAGCGAAATTCCCTAAGATGATGGTTCCAGACGCCATTGTTGAGAGCATCTTGGCGCCTACAGGGGCAGAGGTGAAGATGCTCAGACCAGGATGAGAAGAATAAGACGACCGAAACATCGTCGTCCCTTCTCCTTCTAGTGTCTGGTCTGGTCAACATAAGATGACTGGTTGCAGTTGCTTGAAGTAACTATTCAACAGGTAGCCTATGGTAACATCATCATTGAGAGCTAGCTAGCAATGACAGCTAGCTCGGCCTCCCGTATGAGGGACTGCGGACCTTGTGTCATCACAAGGACCTGCCAGAGAAGTTGCAAGTTGAAGAGCAACAGTGAGAAAACCCGTTGGTCTGGAGCAACGGAGTGACGTCAGACTGCATCATGCAGAGGACCTTTGTGAAGGGCCACAGTGTACTCAGTGTACCGCATTTGTTGAGGATAATCCTAGTCCAGAACGTCTGGTATTGCCGAGGTAACGAGTGCAATGAAATCGTTCCAGTCAAGAGCAATCCTGACTTTGATTACCCAGTAAAAACAGTGAGACAGGTAGTGAAAGACTGTGGTAGCCTACTACGCCTGGGAGACATTAGCGTGAGCGGCGAGTGTCTAAGATTTGTTTCGCCAGTGACATTGGCAGTCTTTGAAGTGGAGAGTGCAGTTGCCCATGTGAGCAGACACTTCCAGTGGTTTGGTAGTGGTAATCTGGTTTACGCCAAGCCTGCAGTGAAGGTCTGCGCCAGTTAGTGGAGCGGTGACAGACATCACTGGCAACAGTTGTGCGAACAGTTGAATTTCCCGCGCCCAGTGACGACGCATCAGGGCAAGAAAGACGTAACGGATAGTTAGCTAATTGGCGCCAAGGATGTGTTTACACAACAGAAGAACAAAGGCAACCGCAGAAGGCCCATCGGCCCATACGAGGCAGCTCCTATCTACAACCGTTGTTGTTGTTGTTTTAGATTCAGCTACTTAGAAGAAAAGTTCCAAAGTAGCACGGGCAATGGTGAGTCCGTAGTGGACTTATCTGGCACAGGAGCGGGGCTGTAACTGCCTATCTACAACCACCCAATCCCACTCATATACATGTCCAACCCACGCTTGAAACAATCCAGGGACCCCACCTCCACCACGCTACCCGGCAACTGGCTCCCGTGCCCTGTTGAAGCACTTTAGTAGCACTCCTTCTCCATTCCTCTTTGAATTAGCATTGTTTCAAATAATAATTTAGGGTTTATGCATATTTAATCATGTTCATGGATTCGGATGATTATTTTTCCCTATGATTATTGTTGCATAATTTGAGACTAGTGATGGCTAGTGGTTTTGATTTATTTGCTCTTGATTTTAAGCATTTACCAAGTGAAGTGAGCCTCATTAGAGTTAATCTAAAGTTTTGTGCTATCATTTATCTTCTAACACTCAAGTTTAAAGCAACACAAGACAGAACATGAAACAATGGGTATAACTTGGATAAGTTTAGATTTAGGAAAGACCTGGGTAAATACTGGTTCAGTAACAGGGTTGTTGATTTGTGGAACCCATTACTGCGTAGCGTGGTGGAGATGGGGTCCCTCAATTGTTTCAAGCGTGGGTTGGACATGTTTATGAGTGGGATTGGGTGGCTATAAATAGGAGAAGCCTCGTATGGGCCAATAGGTCTTCTGCAGTTACCTTTGTTCTTATGAGTTAGGCTTGTGTACATTTTGACACGTTGACCAAACCACACACTAGAAAGTAAAGGGACGACAACGTTTCGGTCCGTCCTGGACCATTCTCTAGTCGATTCTGTCCAGAATGGTCCAGGACGAACCGAAACGTCTTCGTCCCTTCACTTCCTAGTGTGTGTGGTTTGGTCACCATATTTCAGCCACGTTATTGTGACTCCTCGCCTGCATTTAGGCACACGCTCTCAGACACTGAGTGTCGTTGTGTGTCAACACTATACCATTTGTGAGATCCTGCGGTGCCACTGCCAGCGTAGTGCCGTGGCTCAGGTGCCTAAGTTAGCCTATGAGAAGCAAGGTGTCCAGACCTCCCATATTTGAGCTTGTGTGCCTTCACGCGCGTGCGACTGGCCAGTGGACCACCATCCCTTGGGGGACCCTGGGGCAACTCGGCTTTCTAGTATACAGTCGTATTTTGACGTATACTTTACCTAAGGCCAAAAACTGTCGTACTTGAAAATGGTAGCGGCTCCGGAAATTGGCCTACTGTCCTGTTTTCTGTTGTGGGTCCTCTGGCAGGTAAGGATAAGGGCACTTTAGTACGACAGTTTGTTCACGTTGGGGAATCTTGAGGACGGGTTCCTGGAGGACAAGTTTCCAGGGGTGTTGGGATCCCAGGTGCCTGGGGTCCCACATGGACTGGTCACACATGGACTGGGGTCCCAGATGGACTGGTCACACATGGACTGGGATCCCACATGGACTGGGGTCCCCACATGGACTGGGGTCCCCACATGGACTGGGGTCCCCACATGGACTGGGGTCCCCACATGGACTGGGGTCCCCACATGGACTGGGGGTCCCCACATGGACTGGGGTCCCCACATGGACTGGGGTCCCCACATGGACTGGGGTCCCCACATGGACTGGGGTCCCCACATGGACTGGGGTCCCACACGGTAACCCGTCCAAGCTGAGCTGCTCGACTCTAAAAGTATCGAAACAGCTGCATCACGGAGGACGGTCCAGCTTAGCAAGCGTCAGGCGGTAATGCCCTCAGGCCTGGCGGGTCCATTGTCATAACGACGTGTTCCCATGAAATCAGGAATGGGTTCGATTAAGCGCGATCAAACATAAAGCGGAGCCGCCTTGTTTAATGTAACTCGGTCAGCCTGTTTGTGTTCCGGCGGACACTACTGGGGGGGGGGGGCAGTTTATCACGTCCAGTTATGGAGCCCGTGTTCCATCATGTTGTTGTGACAGTCTGGTGGTGAGTGTCATTATCCACGCAGTGATAATGACGAGTCACTGTACCGAGTCAGTTACTCGTTCTACGAGCCACTGTGATTTTCATTCTCTCGCTACACCGCGTGGATAGAGATATAACACACGCTACACTGCGTGGATCTTGATATCAGACTCGCTACACTGCGTGGATCATGATATCAGACTCGCTACACTGCGTGGATCATGATATCAGACTCGCTACACTGCGTGGATCATGATATCAGACTCGCTACACTGCGTGGATCATGATATCAGACTCGCTACACTGCGTGGATCATGATATCAGACTCGCTACACTGCGTGGATCATGATATCAGACTCGCTACACTGCGTGGATCATGATATCAGACTCGCTACACTGCGTGGATCATGATATCAGACTCGCTACACTGCGTGGATCATGATATCAGACTCGCTACACTGCGTGGATCATGATATCAGACTCGCTACACTGCGTGGATCATGATATCAGACTCGCTACACTGCGTGGATCATGATATCAGACTCGCTACACTGCGTGGATCATGATATCAGACTCGCTACACTGCGTGGATCATGATATCAGACTCGCTACACTGCGTGGATCATGATATCAGACTCGCTACACTGCGTGGTTCATGATATCAGACTCGCTACACTGCGTGGATCAT